AAAGTGCTTTGACTCCGTAATTTTGTCAAGCTTGTTCTCATTCACAGCAGGGAAAGAGTCAAATACCGCCAGTTGTGTTTCTCTTCAAAGACTTTTATTACAAAAATAGTCGGTTTACAGATGGTACATGAATGAGTCAAATTAAAATTCAAGAGCACATGTTGTGTTCCTCTACGACATAGTCAAAGCATTACAGCTTTTCACAGTGAGCACAACGAATAAGTAAAACTTTCCACAACCGGTCTAGTCACAGTGAGCCACATCAATCAGAAGGAAGCACCTAATTGGCGAGGTGTGTCCGATCACCCAGGATTCTCCAGAGGCTAATCCCGCCTACATCGTATCCCGGTCCCGCTCCAGTATCCCGCTATCTTGGAACATGTTACCCCTGTGCAATACTGAATCCCTTCTGAATTGATGTGACTACACTGGTTGTGGAGAGTTTTACTCATTCGTTATGATCAGTGTGAAAAAAGGGCCTTTTGTTAATGCTTTGATTGTGTCGTGGAAGAACACCACATGTGCTCTTCAAAATTTGATTTGACTCATTCATGTGCCATCTGTAAATAAACTGCTTTTTATAAGTATAAGTTTTATAAGCAATAAAAGTCTAGGTTTTTTATAATAATAGTAGAAATAAAAGTTTATTTATTTTTATAATAAAGTCTTCGAAAAGAATGTCAACTGCCGGTATTTGACTCTTTCCCTGCTGCGAAAAATCGGCAGAGTTTGCAAAATAAATGGGGGGAGCTAAAACAAGCACTCTCCGCGGAATTCACAGCTTCTTTGATCGAAATCGTTCATCATTCGGTAAACGCCGTACACTGACCACTAGACTCGGGCGAGGGTTCCGCACGTCACGTCCTGGTCTCGTCCTAGCATTATCACATTCTGTGGCAACTTTTACGAAACTTTGTTGTGACTAAGTTTCTCATCAACCAGCCTTTCAATTTCAGCACAGCGCTGGTGCTAGCATCATTTTTACAATTTTGCAAGGCGTAATTTTTTTCCTTCACGGCGATTGAACCCCCGAAACACAAGAATACAAATATGAGCCAACGCTGCTAACGATTCGGCTATCACTCTCTTCCTACTAGGTTATGTTTGCCTCAGAAAGTCTGGGACACGAATCTTGCACTAGAAGATTCGACTTTTGAAGGTCATCGAGCTTTTGACCAGTCGCAAACGTTGCACTTTTAGGAAAAACTTCAAAAAATATATTTTATGTACGATAAAATAATCAACGAATCAGCATCAATGTGTTCAGGGACGAACTTCAATTCCAGTCAGGTCAGTCACAATCTTTGATATAGCCAAAGGCTTAATTTCGCTTAGATTGGTGCTACTTTCTTAGTACATGTGGAGGTGCTCAAGGGGTCATTTTGCGACCGTAAGATGATTGGGAAAATTCGGCAGCGCCAGATCAGATCGCTCTTTATCTGTTTTGATACTCTCTCCTACCGTATTGGCTCAGTTTCGATTGAGAGCGACAAGGTCTCTTCTGTGATAGTTTCTAATGTACTAACGGTTGTAACGCAAACAGAGATACTCTTGTAATTAGTTTGAGCAACAGGTGAACCCCGTAGAACCCTTTCCAACGCTGTCTTCCCGCGATTGTCATGGATTTGCTGTTTAGTTATGAACCACTAGCTGATAAGTGATTTCCCAAAAAAAAAGCAAAAAGAATCTTCAAGAACAGTATAAACAAAATCGCTCCCTGTCAGCTACACGGCCCTGCGGTCTCTGTGAAACCTCCGGCTCATAAGTTGCTTTTTCGCAGTCTAGCATTACATATCATCCAGGGCAAAGAAAAGAAAACGAAGAACAATAAAAACACGGAAGTCACGCTCGAAGCAGGAAGAAACTTTTGGAAACTCCGCATGCGGATTTAGGATTACGGTAGCAATGCACGTCGAGCTTCTGCACCAACAAATTGTATCACTGCAGAATTGATCAAGTGTTACCTCGCGATATGGTTGCTGTTGACTGTATGTGCTCTTAGCGAAGAAAATGTAATAAAGTAGAGCAGAATTATGAGCACGTGCGCTGTTGGCAAAATTGGACATTCGGACTTGTGCCACCACTCATCCACAACTGGGCGTCACTGCGTCAAGTGTGAAGAGAACGTCTGTTGGGTGGGCAGTCCAACTGAGCGGGTGTTAGAACTAGAACTTTCGGCGGCTGTAGCACCCTCCTCGCTCGCTGTGGAGTCGCGAAAGTGGGACAGTCTCTTAGCTTGGGGCTGGACTACTTGCACAAGAAAGGACGACCACGACTTACTGAGCGCCGGGACTGTCTTCACGTGGAAGATGTTGGTAACCGGAAAGACCTTGTCCTCGTCTCACTGTCAATTGTTCCCGATGCCATCCTCATTACCACCTCAACGTACTGTGAGCGGTCTGAAATGTGAAGCGGTTTTCTGAAGACGAGTTCGTGAATGATTCCCAACTTTTGATTTGCCACTCATGCTAGGCTGGTCGGAAAGTGAAGAAGAGAATTTGTAGAAAGGACATTTTGGAGTCTATCGTAAGGGTTTAGAAATTGAC